TTTGACTGCATTTGACTGCATTTGACTGCATTTGACTGCATTTGACTGCATTTGACTGCATTTGACTGCATTTGACTGCATTTGACTGCATTTGACTGCATTTGACTGCATTTGACTGCATTTGACTGCATTTGACTGCATTTGACACCTTCATTTGAACACCTTCATGTATTTGACACTTTTCAAACAATTTAGATGAGCTTTGAAATGAAAGCTTTGAAATGAAAGCTTTGAAATGAGAGCTCTGAAATGAAAGCTTTGAAATGAACGCTTTGAAATGAAAGCTTTGAAATGAAAATCGTGAATCCTGGAATTCTAAGCAATATTCCCGGGATTTAGATAAACAATTGGACTTCTAGATTGGCTTCGAGGCTTCTAGATTATTCAAGGCTTTTGATTTGAACATCTTTTAAAGTTCCTAGATCATTTTTCATTTGAAGATCATTTAAATTTCTCATTTTCATGTTTGGTCCGAATACCGAATTTCCCCCTAATAGTAGTGCACTGAAAAGCTTCACCTAAATCCCTTGAAATCTCGAAATTTGCCTATCAAAACCTATTTGATTTAACCTAAAAATCAAAACCTAAAGAACGAATTTTCTGTTTAAATTGAAAGCGATTACCGAAATCGAGCCTCAACCATCATGACACAAAGCGAGAGCACCATTAAAAGAATCAAGAAGAACTTCATTGCTTCTAAAGCTTCGTCGTCGTATTGTGCCACTTGCAGTGTCACACTTGCAAACGCACATCTTCTAATGCAGTGAATTCATTGTTTATTGGGATAAAGAATGAAGTGCAGAAGAAAGCGTGTGTTTACAAAGACACAAAGATACAAAGTACAAAGATACAAAGATACAAAGTACAAAGTACAAAGATACAAAGTACAAAGTACAAAGATACAAAGATACAAAGTACCCTAAAGTCGCGAGTATAAGTTCTGGTTGGTTTTCGCATGCAAATTGACGGCTGTCTCCGGTGCGGTGTGTCGAGGGTTCGAACCCCGCTGCAGCATAACTTTTTTGCTTTTTAAGAACAATAATAGAAGTAAATTTATTGAGGGTTATAGCAATTTTATGCTGTTTTACAATTTTATGCAATTTTTTGCTCCGGGCGTGGCTCGGCGCGTCCACCCTGCTCCTCTCCGGTGCTCAGTCTTATGGATCCCTCCCTGGCCTCTTCATCCGGCCTCTTCATCCGGCCAAAGTCCACGTCGACGGTCGAAAGAGATGCTTTCCAGCGTCTTCTTCAACACTATCGTCTGGATGTATCCATGCACATAACAAATAGCAATGGTGATAGGCTGTCACCCTGTAGTCACCCTGTAGTCCTGTAGGCTGTCACCCTGTAGTCCTGTAGGCTGTCACCCTGTAGTCCTGTAGGCTGTCACCCTGTAGTCCTGTAGGCTGTCACCCTGTAGTCCTGTAGGCTGTCACCCTGTAGTCCTGTAGGCTGTCACCCTGTAGTCCTGTAGGCTGTCACCCTGTAGTCCTGTAGGCTGTCACCCTGTAGTCCTGTAGGCTGTCACCCTGTAGTCCTGTAGGCTGTCACCCTGTAGTCCTGTAGGCTGTCACCCGCGCTCCAAGAACAATAATAAAAGTTTATATAACAATAAAAATGTATAAAAACCCAACAAAAAGAAATTCAAAGCAATTAAAGCGAATGTAAATTAAGGCAGAACTTATACTCGGATGAATTCATTCTCGAGACTTTAGGGTACAAAGTACAAAGATACGAAGATACGAAGATACAAAGTACAAAGTATAAATTGAAAAGTAATGAATTCACTAAAGGCATTAGAATCAAAATAATTTGATTTTAAATGTTTTAAATCAATTTAAATTGAAATTTAATTGAAATTTAATTGAAATTTAAATTTAAAATAGAAATTTGAAATTTCAATGTTTAAATTGAAATTTTAAATCGAAATTTCATATTTAATCAATAAGAAATGATAAAATCTCTTAAAAATCTCATTTCATTTGATGAAAAATAAGAAAAATAAGAGAAATTAGAGAAATAAGAGAAAAAAACTATGAAAAATAGCGTTTTCTCTTTTCCAATTCTCAAAAAATGACGTCATTTTTGTGAAAAATCGAAAAAAACGATGCAAATTGGGCTGAATTTCATTAAAAAAACGTTTATTATTAAAGTTTTTAAACAAAAAAGTGTTTTTTTTTTGTTCTTAGCAAAGTCCACATGTTTCTGCACAATAGTTGATCTTTTGCTCAGCCGTGAAATGCGATGAACCACAGAAATTCGTTCGCGAATTCCACAAAATGCAGCTGAAAATTGAGGAAATTTAAAGAGAAATTGGTCATTTTATTAGAGTATTTACTGAAAAACAAATGAAAGGCGTTAAACCAACCCAAAAGAAAACCCTTTTAGCATTCTAACCTATTCCAATGGCACTACGGGGACTCGAACCCGGATCGTGACGGCTAGTAGCCTCACTCACTGCGCCTCACTCACTGCGCCTCACTCACTGCGCCTCACTCACTGCGCCTCACTCACTGCGCCTCACTCACTGCGCCTCACTCACTGCGCCTCACTCACTGCGCCCTCACTCACTGCGCCTCACTCACTGCGCCTCACTCACTGCGCCTCACCTCACTGCGCCTCACTCACTGCGCCTCACTCACTGCGCCTCACTCACTGCGCCTCACTCACTGCGCCTCACTCACTGCGCCTCACTCACTGCGCCTCACTCACTGCGCCTCACTCACTGCGCCTCACTCACTGCTCACTTAGGCATAGGCTTAGGCATAGGCTTAGGCATAGGCTTAGGCATAGGCTTAGGCATAGGCTTAGGCATAGGCTTAGGCATAGGCTTAAGCTTTTAGAGCTAGAGCCCTAAAGCTTTTAGCATTCTAACCTATTCCAATGGCACTACGGGAACTCGAATCCGGATCATGCCGGCTAGTAGTGCGCTCCTAACTGCGCCATGGCTACAACAGCTATCCTGCCAGAAAAACTCACTCTCGTGGTCTTTTCGGGTGATACTAAAGCAATTTTAAACTCCAAAAGCTTAAACGTTCTGCATAATGAACAAAATTGTCCTTAGAAAACCGTGATCAATTTGGTGCGCTAGATAAGCTATGTTTACAAGCACAAAGTAAACCGAATAGCTTTGAATTATTGAAGAAATCAATAGATCTTCATTAAAATGGCTGAATTTATAAAATCAACCGAAAAACCTGGTTAAGGGCACGTTTTTCTGACTGGTTGATAGTCGCAGTGGCGCAGTGGGAGCGCACTTGTTTACAGCGCACACGGCCCGGGTTCGACTCCCATAGTGACGGTAAGTTTCGAATTTTTTATGAATTTCTTTTAAATAACACAGCTATAATATATTCTAAGGTTTTGTAAAGAAGTTTTAGCTTTATTGGTCAAAAGAAGGCAGAGAAAATGCATGGATAGACATACAGACGGAGAGATAGATGGACGGATAGATGGACGGATAGACAGACGAACAGACAGACAGACAGACAGACAGGCAGACAGACAGGCAGACATACAGGCAGACTGACAGACATATAGACAGACAGACGGTTAGACAAACAGACAGACGGACAGACAGACAGACGAATAGACAGACAGACACTGCTCTTTTATGTATAGTAGATATAGCTAGCTTCTAGATCTAATTCTAGATCTAATTCTAGATCTAATTCTGGACCAATTCTAGACCAATTCTAGATCTAATTCTAGACCAATTCTAGACCAATTCTAGACCAATTCTAGATCTAATTCTAGATCTAATTCTAGACCAATTCTAGACCAATTCTAGATCTAATTCTAGATCTAATTCTAGGTCTAATTCTAGATCCAATCCATAGACCATCGTAGATCTAATCCTTGAAAGTTCTCTTACTTTGCGCTGCCATCACTGCAAGCGAAAACCGCCGAAATGATGAGAACAAGAAAGACGAAGAGACGAATGATTGAGGTCATTTTGAAAGTTTTGAAATAAACATATTCAAGCTGTATTTATAGTGAAATTCGTTATTTGCAATAGAATGGAATGCTTTCATTTCTTTAATTTCAAGGCTTCAGCTGTGCAAATAGTCACGTGACCCAAAAATTCGTCACTTTTTCTTGTTTCGATGACCGTTTACAGCTTGGAGAAATCGTTATTTTTGAAATTTTTATTTAAACCTTCAACAACTACAGCTACAACAGCTGCAACAGCTACAACAGCCACAACTATAGCTACAACAGCGACAACAGCTACAACAGCTACAACAACTACAGCTCAAACTACAACAGAGTGTTGGGAAATTGAAAATCGACGAAATCCCTAAGAAGAAATTCTGCATTTTCTCGGTTTTTTCAACTCTTGTCTACCAAAACCGAAAACATTTCAAAGACTTTAAATCTACTATATATAATTGAGGGCTGTCTGTCCGTCCGTCCGTACGTAAATTTCATCTCGAGAACGGGAGAAGCTAGAGCTCCAAAAACAACACCCTTATAGGTTTTCGAGGTCGCAAAGTTCCCCCTTGAAAAATCAAAATTGAGTCGCACTATGGGGAATCGAACTCAGATCGTGTCGTAGACATCGTAGACACTCAGATCGTAGACAAGCGCGTTCCGTTCTGTACAACAACAATGTACAACAAATGTTATTCAGTTAAAAATTTGTCGTTTTTGTTCTTGTCTGCCAGAACTTTGTTGCGACAATTATGGCTAGAGATAGGATTAGATAGGACACGAAATAGAATGAAGGAGAGAGGTTGAGGAATGAAATGGGAATGGAAATGAGAATGGAAATGAGAAATGAAATGAGAAATGAAATGAGAAATGAGACGGGAATGGGTTACGGTCGGGTTTTTGTAATAAAATGAAGTTTAGATCAATTTTAGATCAATTTAGATCAATTTTAGATCAATTTAGATCGATTTAGATCAATTTTAGATCAATTTAGATCAATTTAGATCAATTTAGATCGATTTAGATCAATTTTATTCATTTTATTTTTATTTATAGTTTGTTTATCAAGTAATATCTTGATATGGAGATGTTGATCTTGTTTTTGGGCGGATATTCGCGAGATATGAAGTCATTGGACGAATGAGTGACGTCAATGGACGGAGAGATGCGTCTTTTATGTCCAAATCCTGAAAAGTGATTGTGAAAATTGGGACAAGAAAATCGAGACAAGATTACGGTAATGATTACGGTAGTTTTAGGGAAAGGAAACACGAAAACAGATCGATTTTCACCTTCATCCGCCGTTTGTACAAAAAGCGCTTCTCCTCTGCGATCTGTTTTTGCTTCTCGTCGAGAGCTCTTTTCTCGAAAGCCTCCATGTTTTCTTCCTGAATTTTGGGTAACTTGGAGCTAGCTAGAACCTAATTCTTCAAGAATATGCACATATTATCCAATACAAACAGTTTCTGTTCAACGAGAACGTGATAAAAGCCAGTCCTCTAATAAACAGTTCTCTAGTAATTTGATCGTTTTGACGGAAACGAAAAGAAAAATGTTCATTTGAACATTATTCATCTAAACAAACCAAGAAAGCTACGACTTAGACTACAGTCACAGCTACAACAGTTACAACTACAACTACAACAGCTATAACTACAGCTACAACAACTACAGCTACAACAGCTACAGCTACAACAGCAGCAACAACAGCAACAACAGCAGCAACAGCAACAACAGCAACAACTACAACTACAGCTACAACAGCTACAGCTACAACAGCCACAACTACAGCTACAACAGCTACAACAGCTACAAAACTACAGCTCAAACTACAACAGCTACAACTACAGCAGCTACAGCAACAACTACAGCTACAACAGCTACAACTACAAAATCAAAGTACAAACCCTTGTAGAAACACATAGACTAGAGGTTTTTCAAGACTAACTCTTTCAAGACTAACTTTCAAGACTTTCAAGACTTTCAAGAATATCGAACTAACTTTCGGCTTTCGAATGACATCAAAATCAAGCCAAATCATGTTCTCTATGCTGAGATTTAACGTTTTTTTTTTCTAGACTTATAGTCTCATTCCATTGGACAAGACTACAGCTAGAAATAGCTCGTTCTAGAGATGAGAAATTCTCTTTATTTTAGTTTCATTCGAAAGCCAAAAGTTTCCTTAATATTTTGGTGAAAAAACTCTATTCTACGCGGTTTTACAAGGGTTTATAGTCTGATCTTGTTTACTAGAACTTACATTCATTTTCTTGTTCACTACATAGCTTCTCTTTTGCTTATTTGTGCCAATTGGTCTCGAGTATTTGAGTAAATGAATGAGGCGTTCCTGTGGTGGAAGTGACATCTCTAGCGAGAGAATCACTTGAGCCCACTGAAAATTTGGAATGCTCAAATTCGAGAGCTCACTTCACCTGTCGTTTGTACTCTTTTTTTGTACTGAAAATCGTGTGATAAGTTCTATTCAACATGGCAATTAACATGTTGAAGAGAAGGAGAAAGACGAGTAGTTCAAAGGTGATGAAACAAATCTAGAAATTAAACGATCAATCGACGTATAGGCAAACTTCAGCTGCAGCTTTAACATCAGCTCCAGCTCCAGCTTCAACTTCAGCTTCAGCTTCAGCTTCAGCCTCAGCTTCAGCCTCAGCTCCAGCTCCAGCTCCAGCTCCAGCTTCAACTTCAGCTTCAACTCCAGCTTCAGCCTGAGCTCCAGCTCCAGCTCCAGCTTCAACTTCAGCTTCAACTCCAGCTTCAGCCTCAGCTTCAGCTTCAGTCTCAGCTTCAGCTTCAACTTCAGCTCCAGCTCCAGCTCCAGCTTCAGCTTCAGCTTCAGCCTCAGCTTCAGCCTCAGCTCCAGCTCCAGCTCCAGCTTCAGCTTCAACTTCAGCTTCAACTCCAGCTTCAGCCTCAGCTCCAGCTCCAGCTCCAGCTTCAACTTCAGCTTCAACTCCAGCTTCAGCCTCAGCTTCAGCTTCAGCCTCAGCTTCAGCCTCAGCTTCAGCTTCAACCTCAGCTTCAGCTTCAACTTCAGCTTCAGCTTCAGCCTCAGCTTCAGCCTCAGCTCCAGCCTCAGCTCCAGCTCCAGCTCCAGCTTCAGCTTCAGCTTCAGCCTCAGCTTCAGCCTCAGCTCCAGCTTCAGCTTCTTGACTTGATCACTTTTTGAGTGATTAACCTTTAGACAAGTTTTTAATGGGTTAATGAATAGACAATGACTCCCATTTAAAACCTAAAATGAAGTACTTAAAACAGAAAATTTTGTGATTAAGGCAAATTGAATGTAATGCTTTTAACTTTTCAGAATCACCTATTTTAGCAAACACTCAGTGCCAAGAAGATGACACAAATTTTAGAAATACAGCTTCTCTATAAAAAGTTTTTGACCAAAATGAGAGTTTATAGAGCGTATTGCTCATTTATGCTAGCTTTACCTCATAAAAAAATCGTTTTCCTGATGCAAAAAGTGAGCTGAATTTAAGCTGGAAAATACCGTATTCTCTCTAATAGTAGTGGACCCCGGTGAGCCGAGTTTATGACTATTTTAGAGTTTCAAATTTTTCCCAGAAGCTCATCACTCTAATCATCGTCAAGATCTCATCGTCAGCTACATTTTCCGACCCCACATCGATAGGTTCTGATAAGCGGTTCACGAGATTTCGATGGATTTAGGCGATGCTCAGGATGAACTATTGGGTTGGGGAGAATGAGTCGGCGCCGAAAATGAAAAAAATGTCTAAAACTTCTATTCGACTTCGTCAAATAATATGCGTTTGATATGAGTAGAATGGTTAATAATTCTCTACAAAATGACATTTAAAAGAAAATTCAAACAGCGCCTCCGCTCAAGAAAAAGTCATTTTTTCACAAAAACTACAAACTGTGATCTAGAAAAAACCATTGGTGGGATCTTCCTGCAAATTTGGCAACTTAAGTAATTGAATGTGCTCTATCTTTTTTATATAAACACCAAAGAAGGTTTATGTGAAAGAAACTGTTCAAATGATGAGTCGGACTCTTTGCCATTTTAACCAGCTGCGTTTGGAAGTTCATAAACTCCACGAAAGAAAAGCTTTGTGGAATCTCTCAAAAGTGATTTTGTAGAGAAATAGTGGATCCTTTTGATGAAACCAAACGTATATTTAAAGAAGGCTTTATGTGTGCAAAAAGTTCCTTTAAAGCTGGGCGCCGACTCATTCTCCCCAACCCAATACTATTAGAGAGAATAATTTTTTGAAAAATCTCTCAAATCTTACGGGAAAGTTGCACTCATTTTTTACGAGTAAGTTTTTAAAGTCGACTTTTAAATAATAGAAGAAAATTTTCTTGAATTCATGGATTTGTTTAAGCAAATTCGAGTCAAACTTTTTCCGACAACTTTCTTTCAAACCTAATAACATCAAAAAAAAAAACGGGTTTAAAATGACTTATTTATATGGAAGCAAATAGATTTCGCTTATCAATTATGAAAGCAAAATTAGATTTAAAAGTAAGTGAATCAAGTCTTTAATAACTTTAATCACTAACACTATGAAGCTGAAGAAGCTTGGCTTAGTCTGTAGTCGGTAGCTTGGCTTGGCTTAGCCTGTGCAGTCTGTACTTGTCTGTAGTCTGTAGCTTGTGTGCAGTCTGTAGCTTGGCCTAGCTTAGCCTGTGCAGTCTGTACTTGTCTGTAGTCTGTAGCTTGTGTGCAGTCTGTAGCTTGGCTTAGCTTAGCCTGTGCAGTCTGTACTTGCCAGTACCCATGTCTTTCATCACTAACTCACCTTTCCAATGACGATCATGATCGGATTTGGACAAGAAGCGAGTTCTTGGTAGAGGCTCATGAATTCACCTTAATTTTCTTCTAAATTTGTTCCCGTTGTCAATCTTCTTGTCACTATAAATGTCTATAAGAGAACTTGTGTGTTATTTTGTTAATCTTTGACCGACTGATTAAGAGTGCTGTCATGATCGACTGGTTAAGAGTGCTGTATCATAGTCGAGAGGTCAAGGGTTCAATTCCGCCGGCTATTTTTCTCATTTGATTCTTTTCCAGAACGCTAGGTAATTCAGTGCGTTTAAAGTTTTGCTCGTCTTGCTTAAAGTTCTCTTTTTCCACAAAAACTATTCTATCTAGCGTTCTAGTTTCTATTTAATTGTCCTTGCTGGAGTTTCGAGTAATTTCGAGTAATTTAGAATTATAAAACTCACCAGTAGTCATGATAAAAGTTCGAACAAAAGATTCTTGCGGAGAAGCCAAAATATTATCGAAACCCTCGCCGGTTGGATGCAAACTGAAAGCTCTTGCGATAGTTTAGAGTAATTTAAAGTAATCTTTAAAGCAATTGAGAGAAATTGAGTATTTCAAGGCACTAGATGGCGTGCGTTTGCACAAATTAAACTCTAATCCAAATCTAATCCAAGCTTTACATTCCATCAAGATCAGTCCAAAGTTGGTGTGAGATATTTGCGGGATTGATGATGCCGTTCTCGATTTGTTGATTACTGTAGAGTTCGCAAGATTTGAATGTCACAAAAAAGGCTAAAGTAGAATAGAATTGTGGTTTTGAAATGGTTTTTGAATTGGCTTTGAATTGGTTTTTGAATTGGTTTTTGAATTGGTTTTGAATTGGTTTTTGAATTGGTTTTGAAATGGTTTTGACTCGATTTTGAATTGGTTTTTGAATTGGTTTTGAATTGGTTTTGAATTGGATTTTGAATTGGATTTTGAATTGGTTTTGAATTGGATTTTGAATTGGTTTTTGAAATGGTTTTTGAATTGGTTTTGAATGGGTTTTAAATTGGTTTTTGAATTCGTTTTGAATTGGTTTTTGAATTGGTTTTGAAATAGTCACAAAAAAGGCTAAAGTAGAATAGAATTGGGTTTTTGAATTGGTTTTAAATAGATTTTTGAAATTTTGGAAATGGTTTTGAAATGATTTTGAATTTATTTTGAATTGCTTTTGAATTGGTTTTTGAATTGGTTTTTGAATTAGATTTGAAGAGATTTGAAGAGATTTTTGAATTGATTAGATTACCTTGTGAAAAACCGAAGAGAAAGATCAAATAGATGCTAACAAAACGAAAAATATCAGTGCGAATGATTGTATAGATCATTAAAACAAATGAACCGATAAATTTGATGGCTCTGAATTGAATTGAATCGTTTTCTAAGCCTTGTTTCGATAAAAATCGAGACAAGATTAGTATTACCATAAATACTGTAATAGTACCCCACCCCCATAATGACGGTGCGGAGTGTCGCGTAGTCTAGTTTTGAACGCGTTTTTCTCGACACTGGTTTATGCTACAATGTACATTTAGGTATCAAAAAATAGCCCTGAATTTCAGCTATTTTTTGATACCAAAGACACATTTTTTGAAAGTACGGGCGCTTTGAAAAAAATGAAATACTAAAAAACGACTACGCGTTTACGACTACGCGACTGTACGAGGGCGGTGGGGTACTATTAAAGTATTTACGGTAGGTTGTTCGGATATAAACGAGCGTTTGTACTGCTTAACTCGTAAGGAAGCCATTGCCCGCATCTGATCGTCTTTCCAATGGAGATGCTCATCAATGGTAGAATTTGAACATAAAAAGTGTTGAGTAAGTTTACGCGTCGTTTGAAATGGATTCGATTCGAGTTGTCATTGTATCGTTATCGTTGTATCGTTGTCATTGTATCGTTGTCATTGTATCGTTGTCATTGTATCGTTGTCGTTGTATCATTGTCGTTGTATCATTGTCGTTGTATCGTTGTCATTGAATTGTTGTCATTGAATCGTTGTCATTGAATCGTTGTCATTGTATCGTTGTCATTGTATCGTTGTCATTGAATTGTTGTCATTGAATCGTTGTCATTGAATCGTTGTCATTGTATCGTTGTCATTGAATCGTTGTCATTGAATTGTTGTCATTGAATCGTTGTCATTGAATCGTTGTCATTGAATCGTTGTCATTGTATCGTTGTCATTGTATCGTTGTCATTGTATCGTTGTCGTTGTATCGTTGTCATTGTATCGTTGTCGTTGTATCATTGTCGTTGTCTACCGCTTGAGGTCGACGAGAGGGTTCATGATTCTCGTGAGTGTTCATGATCCTTTCATCACCATTCCGAAAGCGTTGGAACCAGGCTCGGCATCGGCTTTTGAACAATACATCATTCCAAATGCTTTGACTAAATCTCGAAGGGTTCTCGATAATGTCTCGATGGGATTCCGCTACTGTTTTGACCAATTTGAAGTCGTAAAGTAGGTGAATTTGAAATTTAAAATCGATCATCTAAAGCAAGAAAAAAAGCTCTTAAAAATAATTATCGATTGAAATTACCGGTTTAAAAAGATTCCGAATATACACAAGATAACATACTTTTAAATAAAGAAAGGCATATTTCAAAAGCTTCCCTCACAACAATAAGCTTAGCAACGCTTGTTTATATCCGAACAACCTAATAGTTTTAACAATTTCAGATTAAAAACTGTGCCAGATGATTTGCGTTTACTTGAAGAAACGTTCTTTAAGCTAAGCTTTAAGCTTTTAAGCTAAGCTTTAAGCTAAGCTTTAAGCTAAGCTTTAAGCTACCTCAAATAAAACAAAAAGTGTATCGTGGTGAAGAGAACGGATAACAACGAGAGATAATTGTCGAATGCGAGCATGATTGGCCCAATAAAGCACAACATTCTGAGAGGATTGATAAGAAATTACTTGATGAAAGCTCACGCACCTAATTGGTATGACGAGTAAGATGAGGAGAAAAGAGAACTTGTAGATGATCTTTGCGGGAAATGATTTCTGAAAGAAAAATTGGTTTATTCGTTTCCTAAAAGGTCGAAATTTCAGACAAAAGCTACCGTAATCTGGCCAGTTTTTCGATCAGCCAAATTCTAGCCAAGTTTGATCAGAGAATCAAAAGGCTTACAAGAAATGGCCAATAGAAATAAAATAAATAAAATGAGCTCTTTTTTATCTCTCTTTATAAGGCGACGATCGAGTGGCTGGATGGTCTAGTGGATAGTGAGTTAGGATACCGAGCTTAAAGGTTCTGATCTCCAGGGTTCGAATCCGCTCACTGCTGCTTTCTCTTTTGTTCTTTGCTTTTCTTTTTGTAAATACTTTTATGATTTCTCTTTAGATTCTTTAGATGGCCAAGATCCAAATGGCCAGGATCCAAATGGCCAGGATCCAAATGGCCAAGATCGAAATGGCCAAGCTCCAAATGGCCAATCTCCAAATGATCAAGATCCAAATGGCCAGAATCCAAATGGCCGAGCTCCAAATGATCAAGATCCAAATGGCCAAGATCCAAATGACCAGGATCCAAATGGCCAGGATACAAATGGCCAAGATCCAAATGACCAAGATCCAAATGGCCAAGCTCCAAATGATCAAGATCCAAATGGCCAAGATCCAAATGGCCAAGATCCAAATGACCAGGATCCAAATGGCCAGGATACAAATGGCCAGGATTTAAATGGCCAGAATCCAAATGGCCGAGCTCCAAATGATCAAGATCCAAATGGCCAGAATCCAAATGGCCGAGCTCCAAATGATCAAGATCCAAATGGCCAAGATCCAAATGATCAAGATCCAAATGGCCAAGATCCAAATGGCCAAGATCCAAATGACCAGGATCCAAATGGCCAGGATACAAATGGCCAGGATTTAAATGGGTAGACTTGTCTATGGCGCAAGCTTATATAAAGCGGGTAGCCTTCTCCTACATTGTCCCCTACATCGTCTCCTACATCGTCCCCTACATCGTCTCCTAAATCGTCTCCTACATCGTCTCCTAAATCGTCTCCTAAATCGTCTCCTACATTGTCCCATCCTCACAAACAATAATTCTATCGATAATTTTATATTCCCTAAGCCCCAAATAGTAAATTGTGCTTATGTGTGCAAAAAAAATCACCAATAACCCCTATTTTTGATTATTAAATGATTAAATTTTGCGAAAATGATCTAGGGGATTTATTTTTGCGAATGTTTAACAAAAGAAAAGAAAAGAAAAGAAAATGATTTCTAAAAAATCAACTCACCAACATATTTAACCACTTTTGACGACCAATTCGACGAATATCAATAAAATCGAGAATAATTTGAGCGAAAACCAGCGACAAAACGATCATTTCGCAAGCGAGTCGGATCTAGAAGAAAGAAAAAAGAATTCAGTGCACTAGAAAGGTTGTGTTTAACCTGTTTAGAACACATTAAACTGAATTTAACACAAAGTAAACCAGAGATCTTTAAAGTAAGCCTTTAAAGTAAGCCTTTAAAGTAAGCCTTTAAATTAAATCTCTTCACTCACCCATCCAAATCCAATATAACGATCGCTCATTTTAGAGTAATCTCGTAAATGACACCAAGTGGTGTTTCCTGGGAATGTTTCTGGGCAACCAATTGAGTAAGCTTCGTCAAATCCAAGATCGAATATTGTCGAAAATCAAAATCAAAATCCATAGCTTTCTTTAGCGATTTTACCGTATTCCAATCGATTTCTGGATCGAGTTTCTCCCATTCCCAGATGTCGTTCGCCGGTAAACCCGTTTCGCAAACGTTTTGATTTGTGAGAGCCTTTAAATTTCCCTTTCTATTCTTTCTATTCTTTCTATCTTTCTATTCTTTCTATCTTTCTATTCTTTCTACCTTTCTACCTTTCTATTCTTTCTATTCTTTATTCTTTCTAAGTCACACATCTTTTTGTAAGCACAATTAAAGCCTAAACATCATATAACATTGAAATCTTCCCAACCGATGTCGTCATGCTGATCGGTCGTAAACTGAAAGCGGCAACCAAAAATATGTAGTAGATGACGAAACTGATCAACGAGATGCACCAACTAAAAAGAATTTAATTCAATCACCAATTTGCTATTAGATTGGGAAGAAAATTCGTAAAAAAAAGTTTGTACAATGATCTCTCAAAAGCCAAGCCATCAATTCTTCCCAAATCTACTCCAAAAAATCGTTTTTTTGGGGCAAAAAGTGAGCTGGACAAGCTGGAAAGTAATAAAGTGGAGGCTCGATAGTAAATCATTGAAGGGATTCTCCAAAAATGATTTACTATTGAGTGATTGACTGTCGAGTGATTACTATCGAGTGATTACTATTGAGTGATTGCTATTGAGTGATTACTATTGAGTGATTACTATTGAGTGATTACTATTGAGTGATTACTATCGAGTGATTACTATCGAGTCATTTATTATTGATTTACTATCGAGTGATTTCCTCTCGAACCTCGACTGTACTTTTTCGAGATCTCAAAGTTTTTATCGAAAAATTGCACTCATTTTTACAAGTAATTCCTTGACGTCGATTTGTAAATAATAGAATAAAGTGTTCTAGAATTCGTTTTAAAGAAATTCAAGTTCAAAACTGCAAAGACTTTCTGGACACCCTATCCGTTATTGCATATTCAATTCAATATTTTGATTTTGAAAATTTTTATCTTCAAAACCTCTTTTTTACCTAGAAAAATCGTTTCACAAAGAATCTTCAATTCTTTGATCAAATCTATTCAAATCAAACACGATTCTGATTTTGTTCATTACTTTAGTACCTTAACGGAAGGTTTTTCTTAAAAACCATCGAAATTACGCCCCTGTCAGCTCCGAGCCAAACTGATATTTTAGTTACTATTGTTATTATTAAATGATTTGTCTATTCTTATGCAAATGTGTCCTCCCCTGTGCTTATCCCTTTTATTGCCGAGAAGGGGCGGTCCTTGGGATTGCCTAAGAGGACCTAGAAGAAGCTAGAAGGACCTAGGAGGACCTAGAAGGAGCTAGGAGGAGCTAGAAGGACCTAGAAGGACCTAGAAGGACCTAGAAGGATCTAGAAGGACCTAGGAGGAGCTAGAAGGACCTAGGAGGAGCTAGAAGGACCTAGAAGGGCCTAGGAGGAGCTAGAAGGACCTAGGAGGAGCTAGAAGGATCTAGAAGGACCTAGGAGGAGCTAAAAGGACCTAGGAGGACCTAGAAGGACCTAAGAGCCTAGGAGGCCTACATCCCTTCCAATAAGGCAATGGGATTGCCTAGGAGGACAAGTGAGACTCTCATTTATCCCCCTTCCCCTTACACTTATTTGTAATCTATTCGTCTTATTATACTAC